AATCAACTTTTTCTAAACAAGGATTCCAAAATCAACTTTAATATCAAACTTCATAATGTTTGAATCAAACCATTTACTCATGCATTGTTTTAATAGTGTTTGTTAGAAAATGAATGAATGATTAAGAGTTGATATAAAATAGTCACAAAAAACAGTTGATGTATTATTCTGTGTTTTAAAATGATGATAAAAATTAAGGTGGTATATTATTTCAAAAGTTCCCCTAATCCGGTTTCAATCAATTTTATCTGCTTAAACCGGCAATGTACCGAACCAGATCACTCAAGCGGTGTTAAAAGCCTTGGATCTCGACTTGTTGAGCACTAACCATTTGAATTTTCCGGTTTACTTCGGTTATGAACAAGAGAACCTATGAGTTTTACCAACATTTATCAAAATTTACACCACTAAACTCTGCTTTTTCTCGACCTTTTCACAATTTCGTTTCTATTTTTCCCATACACAAATCAAAATCAGAATGAAAAGATGTGTCACGACAAAACAAAAAAAAAATGTATTAGAATGATGTATTTGGTGGATGGAGGTGTCTCTTCTTTGGCTGCTGCATCTTCTTATTCACGCACGAGTGGAAAAGTAAGCATCGGCAAGAGCTTCTTTGGCAGAGATTCTCTACACCAAACCAAAAGACTTTAAAACATACTTTTTGATAAAAAATTCTGCAAATTTTCAAATACATACCTTGCTAGGATCAAGGAGCAACATCCTATTCAATAGATGAAGAGCTTCATGATCAAAGCTGTGACATAAAACATATGTCATGATCTTTTCTCCATTGTTCAAGAGCTCAGCAAATAATCAACCCACTGACCATATGTCAACCTCCGGACGGTAATCACCTGAGCCAATAAGTATCTCGGGAGGCCTAACAATGTCAAACATATGTTATAAAAAAGATTTCATACAAATCTTATAATATAAGCGAGACTTATATACATACTCGTGCTATGCACCGAGAATGCACCGAGAAAGTCATTTAATTGCATTTCTTCAACCTTAATAACTCATACATATCGTTTGAGTCAAAACATTAACTTATGCATTGTTTCCCAAGTAATGTCAAAGAACATTTAAAACCGATGACTGTAAAAACACAATTACCCAAAAAAGCCACAAACTTGTAACTATATGCATATACTAATTACGCAGAAATTAAACTTCAAACAAAATCTATGATGTGAGGATAAATGTGGCATTTTGGTAGTTAAGATTGAAGATATGGCACAAGTGTCAATTACTTCTGCAAACGGCTACATGAACTTGTTGCGTAAAAAAAGAGAGATAAAATTCGAATCCATCAAGTCAGATAAAAATCTACACGAAAAGAAAAAGCTGCAATTTTTTTCTTCTTCCTCTTGTGTCGTCAAATCAACTAATCTCACAATACTATTTGTTCTCTCCAGACACAAAAATTGCTGCATCTTCTTCTCTCATCAAATCAACAAACAAATCACAACACTGTAGCTTTTTTATCTTTTTCATTTTCAAAATTATGTATAAAACTGTTAACACTCTACTAGTGTTTCCCATAGCGAAAGAAAGAAGAAACTCGAAATCGAAGACGGGGAGAGAAATGGTAACCACCACTACAAGTTCGTATTTTCACGGCGGCGATCAAGTTTCTCCGCAGCCGTCAGACATCGTCCTCCCGGGTCGGGTTGAAACCGTTTTGGAGAAAGTCTACAGCAAACACAAGTGTCCTCCGATAAACGATGACTCGAGGCAGAGACTGTCTTCGATTCCCGAGGAATCAGCTTTTCATCTGCTCAGGAAAGCTTTTAACTCGCCGGAAATGTACAACCTTGACCGGTTCATCGTGTCTAAGGTTAACCAGTCCGTTACCGTTAGTGGCTCTCCGCGGCAGAGCTCCGCTGAGTCTCCGGCGAAGCCTCCTCCTAGCCCCTCTCGACAACACTATCAAGGTCAGTTTCAGAAACAGAGTCATCATCTACTGTTCATTTGTGGGGTTTCCAAATCATATGCACAATAATGATTTACTTGCCGATTATAGAGGAGATATCTGTTGATTCCGAAGCTCCCAAATCTTTGAAAAGAGAAGACAATAGAGGATCATCTGTGCACATTCCTCCTCAGATCTTAGCTTTGAGTGAGCTCCAATTTAAGAAGGCGTTTCTGTTGCTTAGCTATATTCCTGGGTATGTTTGTTTTCTTCTTACAAGTTTTCGACTTTTGAAAAAAAATCTCCATCAATATCATCTCTTTTCATTTCAATTTCAAGTAAAATTTACATCTTTTGGGATTTATAGGCGATCTCTGGCTGAGGTCATAACTGCTGATGAGATCAGAGAATGGAAGGATTTGCCAATGGCTGCATATGAAGCAGCGGTTTGGGACCGGTTGGGACAGAAGTTTTGTTCCCAAACAGACCGAAAAGCGGTATGGATGTTTGCTGCTGAATCTTTCTTTGGTATCAAAGTTGTTCTAATAATTGCATCCTCCTTTACATGCTTCTTCTGTATACTCAGTCACTTGAATGGGATAGCGGCAAGACTCATTACTATCAGTGCCATGTCGCTTCGGATGGTAGTTACACATTCAAGGTTCATTCTGCTCTTTAACTATCATCATCTTTCATGTTTTGCATTTTACAAGCGGTTGAAGCAAGTCTTTTACAAGCACTTATCGACAACACTTGTGTTCACAGGGCCCTCTTGTTGAACCCACAGGAACACACCTGCACAAGGTCTTGGGTGATGAAAATGTTTTGACTGTCAAATTTCCGGATGTCCAGAGAAAGTCGTCAAACTTATGTTACTCTGCCTACAAAAGGATTGCCAAAAATGGTATCATGGTTGGTCTACGCCGTTATCAGTTTTTCGGTGGGTTCTTCTGTTTCCTTTTTCTCTCTTCATTAAATTTACGTCATTACACATGCAACAGTTTGCATTGTAAAGTACACTCTAACAATTCTATTCAACAGTTTTCAAAGATGGAGGGAAAGCAGAGAAGGGAGTGAAATGCTACTTTATACGCACTGACTCTACAACGTCTAATGATCTTGCAAGTCCTTACATCTTTTCCGGGATGTCAATCCATGAAGCTCGTATGCATTTTATGCATGTGCATACATTGCCATCTTTAGCCAAATATATGGCAAGGTACTCTAGTTTCTTCTCTAAGTCTCTTCTTCTGTATGCATGCGAAGATGTTCTACTGTTTCATTTTTGAGGATTTTGTATTTGAAGTCACTTTTCTTTTGTTGATGCTTCAGGTTTTCTTTGATTCTGTCAAAGACTAAGAAGCTTGATGTTGACATGACTGGGATTAACTTCAAGGAAATTGATGATATACACTGCCGTGTAAGTCCTTAATTCATGTGTCTTTCAAGAACTGTGTTTCTATCTAATTGGCCTTTACTTAGTCATATTTTCACTCTGTGCTTTGACCTTTTTTAATTTTCTTCCAAACTGCAGGATCAAAACAATAATGATGTTCTTGATAAGAATGGGAAACCTCGTATACATTCAGATGGCACTGGCTACATCTCTGAGGACCTTGCTCGGATGTGTCCTGTGAATATATTTAAAGGGAAATGTCTCAGAAGTGATGATAGTCAGGTCTTTGCTCTACTTCCATTACATTTTATTGGTTGATTAGCTGCCCTTTGTTCACTCGTTTGTTTTGAATCACAGGAAGCCTGTGGCCAAGACCCGGTATGTATAATATATAGTTCACACCCCTGTTTATGCTTGATTCTCTATATATGTCTCTTACTTAACTCTTTCCAACAGCCTCTTCTGATCCAGTTTCGAATGTTTTATGATGGCTATGCTGTTAAAGGAACTTTTCTCTTAAACAAGAAAGTGAGTCTGCTTTCTTTCGCATTACTAACTTCTTCGTTTTTTCCTTCGTTTAAATGTTTCCAAACTATTCCTAACGTTGCTCCCATTTCCTTATTTGGTAGCTTCCTCCTCGGACTGTCCAGGTTCGACCTTCCATGATCAAGGTGTCTAAAGATCCAGCCTTGTTAGATTTTTCCACATTTGACTCCATCGAGGTAGTCAATACAAGGTATGTGTTTTTTGGATACTTGTTGTCCACTCAAGTGCTCTCGCTCGATGTTCTTATAGTGAAATGAAGTTATCCTCGTAACACCTGGTTGCTTTCATTATCCAGTAATCCACCAAAAAGAACAAAGCTATCAAGAAATTTGGTTGCACTGCTTAGCTATGGAGGAGTCCCTGATGAGTTCTTTTTGGATATATCACTCAACACACTGGAAGAATCAAAAACCATTTTCGACAATAGACGTTCTGCGCTGAAAGGTGCTTCAGATACCAAAGCTTTATGGTTCTTTTGCACTGTTTCTCTAATCATCTCCCTGCAGCTACTGAGTCAAGTAACTTGATGGATCTTTTAAGAAGTCAATTTGTCAGTGCAGCTGCGCTTAATTATGGGGATATGGACGATCAGAACGCTGCACAAATGATAATGGTTGGTATCCCCTTGGACGAACCACACTTGAAGGATCATCTGTCTATTCTCTTAAAGACAGAGAAGATTGATCTCAAAGCAGGAAGGCTTCCCGTTACTGAATCATACTATCTCATGGGCACAGTTGATCCCACCGGAGAGCTAAAGGAAGATGAAGTCTGTGTAATCCTGTATCATTTCTAATCTTTTGCTCTTTCCCCTTGAGTTTTACATGGACACTACAAGAAACAGTAATTTTCTTCCCTGGAATTGTGAGTTAGCTGTTCATTTCCTCATTTGTACTTTCTTTTTGTGTGGTTTTGTAGCGAGTCTGGCCAGATTTCAGGGGATGTGTTAGTTTACAGGAATCCCGGATTGCATTTTGGAGACATACATGTACTCAAGGCTACATATGTTAAGGCCTTGGAGGAGTATGTCGGAAACTCCAAGTATGCTGTGTTCTTTTCTCAGAAAGGTCCAAGATCTGTGGGCGATGAGATTGCAGGTGGTGACTTTGACGGCGACATGTATTTCATATCCCGAAATCCAGAGGTAATTCATAGCATTAGGAAGTAAAACTATTCATTGTTGTGACCTGATGATCTTCTCTGTTCTTAGCTACTTGAACACTTCAAGCCAAGTAAACCGTGGGTGAGTTTGACTCCTCCGAGTAAAAGTAACTCTACGAGAGAGCCAAGCAAGCTTTCACCAGAAGAGCTGGAAGAAGAGCTCTTCGAAATGTTCTTGAAGACAAGATTTCAGGCCAGGTGCTCCTAGCTTACCTTTTAAGCTCTGGATTCGAAACTGTGTCTTGGATCAATAATGTCTCTGTTTTTACAGCAATGTTATAGGGATAGCAGCAGATAGCTGGTTAACAATAATGGACCGGTTCCTCACACTTGGAGATGAAAGCGCTGAGGAAAAAGCTGAAATGAAGGAGAGAATGCTAAAGCTGATTGATATATACTATGATTCTATTGATGCACCAAAGAAAGGCGACAAGGTCTATCTCCCAGACGTGATGAAGCCTGACATTTTCCCACATTACATGGCGCGGGATAAAACATTCAAGTCCACTTCTATACTTGGAACAATATATGACTTTGTTGAAGCACATACAGCAGAGGAACACAAAACACCACCTGGTAAAGGATATATTACTTGCTACTAGTTTACAGAAGAAATCATTACATCATGAAGATGTGCTTTTAACTGTGGTTTTACGATTCAGAAATCAAGAAACTTCCATGTTTTAAAGATGAGACGGTCTCTGAGTTTCATATGAAGAATTGTAGACAGTGGTATGAGAAGTACAGAGCTGATATGACCCAGGCGATCATTAGAAAGGATGGCTCAGTCGATGAAGTTATTCCGCGATACAAGGAGGTAAGCTCTCCTCAATCTGATGCCACCAATAAACTTCAATGGATTGGTCCCGCGCAAATCTTTCTTGATAAACAAACGAACAAACAAACATTTTGAAATAGTTTATTTCTTGTGTCAGGAGTTCTATGGTGCTGCATGGTTTGAAGAAAGCAAGAAAACTCTGGAAGAACTTTACCCGCAAGCTTTGGCGCTTTACAGCACCGTTTACGATCATGCAGTCAAAATGAAAAACGTTCGAAATTGCGGGTTTGCCTGGAAAGTTGCAGGGCCGGTCCTGTGCAGATTCTACCTAAAGAAAACGCAGGGAAAATCTTTACTATGTTCACTCTCTATGCTTAAGGAGTTGTGGGGTTGAGCACAAATGACTTGTTAATAAGAATAAAGCCTTCTGTTGTCTTCATGTATCATAAGAAGCGTGTGAAACAAGTATCTTACTTTTGGTGTATTTCTCGTCTACATTTGTTCCTCTGCTCTAGTGTATAATATTTCGTGTGTATATTTGCTTATGGAAGAACTGTGGGCAATAGTAAAGCTTCATGTTATAATTAAGGACTTTTTTATATTAACCATGTGACAGAGAAATGAGGCTTAACCTCTACAAAAAAAAAAAAAAAAAAAAAAAGAAAAAGAGAAAGGATCTTCTTCCAAGGCTTCTTGAGCAAGAAAACCATTATGACTTGCATCTAAGAATGCGAATTTTCAAATTATATTTTGAACATTGGTATGCAAGTGTGTTACATAACAAACTAAAAACATGAATGATGAAGAACCAAAAAATTACAGAAATCAAGATGATGAATGAAGAAGATGTTAAGCAATATTTCTTCCCAAACCTGCTAAGTAAGAACAGAAAGAAATCAATAAATAAACACTTCCCAGAGGGGAATGATGCTTTTCTTCACCAATAAACATTTTTGAAGGAAAGAAGACAAAAAAAAGATTAAACACAAGAACAGATTTTTCCCCCTCTGGAAAAAGAATCACCAATAATAATTCACCCGCGAATTCCCAGGCAAAAAAACGACTGTTGGGGCTTGCTTCTACTGTATCAAAAACCAACTTTTAAACATCAAACTTCTTGGGTTGTCGCCAATGAGCCAAATTTCTTCCCAGTGAGCTTAAGAAGGAAGCTTTCTGAGGAGCTCCTTTCTTACCATACAGGTGTTTCCCTCCTAAATCGGTCTTTGCTGGTCCCATATCCTTTCGTCTCTCGATCTGATATCACATTGCAAGCATCTCAGATGACAATATCTATTCAAGATCCGAGGAAACTATTTTTAAAATGACTTACTTTGAAAATCTTTCCATTTTTCAAGTGGTATCTAATCCCAGACCAGTTTATGGATTGAGAAAAGTGAGAACGGAAAGCTGAGATTGGGTATAAGAAGTTGTCCACTAGCATTGCTACAAACACCTGCAAAATTTGTTCCCAAGATCAAACCCAAAAAACTTCTGAAACCATTTCTATAATCTCAATAGAGAGGGTTGAAAAGCAACGTACAAGTCCCCAGTTATAAGTTGCAAGAGAGAGACGGGGAGCCTCCGGTGATAACATATTGCATAGCGTAACTTCTCGTCTTGTCAAATTCCACATTGAAAGAAGTTCGATGAAGGTACAGATCGCCAACATTATAACAAGCAACATACCTACACAGAAACTCATACCTACAAGGTCAGTATGTAGCACAAAGAAAAGCAGACAATCCTACAGTTTATGTTGAAGATGACAAATCACTATGATCCCCCCAAAACACACAGGCAATCTTCGACACATAACCCACCTAAATAAGAGGAAAAGTAAGCTCACCACTAGAAGCAAAGGTCGTGTCTTCAAGTTGATGATAGCCCTTGATGTAGATTCTTAAAGCTGATGTGATGTGAACGACAGCCATAAGATATGGTGCAACAAAACCCCATGACAGATAACAGTGGACAGCAAACAAAGCCTTGTTCATTATCCAGTTCACTTTGGATATGTAAGATTCTAGCACAAACGTTTGCTTTCTCAAGTAGTTCCAGTACCTATTTAATAGAAAAGAAACAAATGGTTAAACATCTAAAAGTTGAGTAACTTTTGTGGGTTTAAACAAGTGAAATCCAAGTATGTACCGTCCAAAGCTTAGATCGCTTGCGAGAGGATGAGGGAAAACAGCAACAGGAGGAGATGTAATGAGCCTCTTGTGAGCACCTGGAGTAAAACAGATCAGTGGAAACAAGAGTAAACTATCAACTACAGATACGATAGACACATATAAGTTTACAAAATAGAGGTGAATTCAGTGGAATACGTTACCTGCTAGAGCCGCAAGTGTCATATCATCTGAATACCCACCATCACGTAAGCCAGAGGCAACACCGTATCGATCTTGTCTGAAATCATCAGCATGCATCTACATATTGTTGCAAATAATCACCAACATTAGATGTAGCACAATAATACAAGAAGAAACATTATATACCATGTTATTTACATACCATCATACACCCTCCCCACAAAAAGAATGTTCTCCCACCAGTCGCAAATCCCATTGAGCAAGGCTGTAAAGAGAGTGTTCCATATATATTAGCTCAAATCGAAAAATGCAGCTAGCATGGAGAAGGAAGAGCAAAGAAGGGAGAGAGATGTCAGTGTACCATGTGGTACTCATAGATGCAATAACTCCCAAGAGTTCCAGAGGGCAAGTCTAGAGGATACCCAGTTTGAATAAATATCTGCAAGAGATCACTGTTGCTGTTAAACAATTCAAACAGAAGGAAACATAATTAAGGGCCTGTTATCATTAGCCATGAGATTGGGTACAACCTCTGGATTTTTCTCCATCTCAGTCGTGAGAGCTCCAATTGTTCCAGGATGCAGTCTAACATCATCGTCCAGGAATAACACATATTTGGTATCTTTGTGCATTTTCTCAACTCCAATCTTCACCAAGCAAAAACCAAAAGCACACAAACTTAGCAAAAGCCAATGAATGAACAGCATACATGAAAAACGTATACTGGAAGATAATTTAGCTTTTCATGGTTGTGCTTACAGTTAAGCCAAGAACATTTACAAAGAAGAGATGAGAGAGAAAGAAAAAATGATTAAGTCTGCTTCAAAGATCATACATACCAATTGATTATGAATCTTCTGGCTGCAAGTCGTCGATAAACCAGCAACCACAACCTTAGCTTCAACATGATCCTGTGCACATTTAGGCATTGATATGAGCCAAAGTTGTAAAGTCAATACATACTTCAAGACGAAAGAAGGCCATATCAACTATAAATTGACATCTTAAACGACCAGAAAGATATGCTGAAACGTGTCCGTACCTGATACATAGATAATAAACGGGAAACAGCATGATATGCAGGGTCTTCAGTACTTTCTACAACAAAAAGGAATTCCAATGGCCCACCATAGAGAGAAGTAATCTACACAAACACATCAATCAATCATTAACAAGAAAGTTGGAACCAAGACGCTTCTCTGTCAAAAAGCTTAAACTCCACAAAGATACTGCAAACATGAGGGACTGACCTGGCTTCTCCAATTGTGCAAATTGTGCTCTCCAAAACCTTTTAGAGGCATGACAACGGAGATTCTAGGAAGTTTAAGCTGCTTAGAGTGCTCGAGTTCATTGATATCTTGATAGAGAAACGCCAAGCTGTTACCCGCTTTCATGCTGTTTTTAATTCTCTTAACCTCTCGGTTCCTTCAAGGTAGACATAACAACACACACATTTCAGCCACAAAAACCGCAGATTGTACAGCCAAAACAGCACCAAATGAGGCATTTTTATAGGTAAAAAGACGCTACCTGACATATGCAGCCATTAACCAGCCTAGAGCAAGGAGTAAGCATATCGTACATCCCTGAAAACATATACAGAAACAGTAAGATTAACGAAAGGCAAGCGAATGAAATGCCAAAAACTGATAGGATTCTCGAAGGAAACCAAAAAGTCTTCGTTTTTTCAGAGAAATCATTGATGATGATGATGCGAATTTATGTTTTCTGATTCATCAAAAGACGCTCAATTTATTCTTATCTACTAAAAAAAACCTTAGAGAAAACAAAAACTTTTAGTTTGTCCTGGAGATATAAACTATGTAACTCTTATCCTGAATTCTCAATTCTGGGAAATGGCCAAGCGAATCAAGGGATTTTGGAAGAAATATCAGATGAGGAGATATGAATACCCCAAATCCTTGATTTCCCTCCAACATTTGAAAGAAAAAAGATCTAAAAGGCTCACCTGGATCTGAACGAAAACAGCGAAAGGGCTACAGAAAGCTCTGCTGAGAGAGAAGATAATCGCGTCGATGGAGTCCAATGTAGACATCTTTAGCTCTCAATTTCTCTGACTCCCCTTCCCCGCGACGATAAAAGATGAGAAGAAGAAGAGGAAGAAAACAGGGGAACGGGAAAATGGAGGAGCAAAAATGAGAAACCCTAAGAGTTTTAAAAACTAGCGCAATTCTTCTCTCAATGTCTCTCCAATTAGAGTCGTGAAATTTTCTCAGATCGCCATTGACGGACCAGCGAAAATCCAGAGAGAAAACACTAAACTTATACTTGAAAGGAATCACACATTACACCATTCATTCATCGACACATCCATTTTCCTTCCTTTTTTTAATTCAAATATTAAAATCATTTACTATATTTATTTTTATTTTAAAAAATAATAGCACCTTTCTACTTTTGAATAACATCTTTTGTTTTTCTTCTGTAACATTCTCACATCTTAAATAAGAAATTATTCCAAACTAGTAAGGAGAATATTTTCTCTCATTAAAAGTTCAAAACATAAAGGGTATTTTATTTTCATTTTTATTTCTTTCGAGAAAACATTAAGGGTATTTACGCGGTTTTCTCCATATACATATTCACGCGGTTAGTAATAAATCAATATGCATTTAAATCATTTTAATCTTTACAATTTATATACATGACAGGAATGCAATTAAGTGTCAACTAAAATTTTGGCTACCGAGCCAAAAAATATTGTGAAAAAAAAAACTGATTCATGATACGTTTTTGATTTTGTTAAAATATATTCAAATCAGGGTGATCTAAGTATCTAACTAAATAGATAGTGGCGGCATGATCAAAATAGTTTAGTACTTTAGTTTGGTGTTGCATTGCACTTGACCGTGTCAAATTAGATTCATAATATGTCGCATTGGAATGTCTATGAGATTTCCATTTTTTTACTGGCGTGAAAACGCAACTTACCTTGATGTTGATAAAACTAGCTTGAATATTAACTTCAAATAGTATAATCTCATACCATTTCAGCCTCAAACTGTATATTATCATTTACAGTTTAACTATGTCACTTGTTTTTGCGTAAACCGCATGCACT